GCCTCGCAAGCGAGAGATCTGGGTTCGATTTAAACCTTGGGCAGATTTTCTTACTCCACACGCCTGATAATACTCCCTCAAGAAAAAAAACATTAATAAAATTGGTCACTTCAATCCACGACTGTTTGTGGGACACTGCTGTGCGCAATTGGCTGCCGTGTTTCGCCCACAAAATATACAGTGAATTAACCTTACAGTATATTCTGTGAAGCGCTTTGAGACGTCTAGAAGACGTGAAAAAGCACTATATCAATGCAAGGATTATTTATTATTATTATATATGAAAGCTACTACAAAAAGACAGGTTCTTTCTTTCTTGCATATTTGTCTCATTGATTTTCTCTGAAGAGCATCTCTAAAAATGATACTTTTGCATATATTAGATGTCCTGTACTTGGGGATAGTATTACATCGATCATATGTTGATAACTAAATTAGAAATCCCATGCTAAAAGCACAATGACAAAGATTGCTGCTTTTAGCGATCAGCGTACAGACAGACTGCTTGAATGGATTCTTTGGAAAGTCTCAAGCCAAAATGAAGCACCAACATTTAGCCAATACCAGCACTACAATGTCACTAAGTCAAGAAGCTGTCAATTTCGCCTGCAAAAAAAAACAGATTAAAGGACAAATTGTTGGACTAAAGGAGAAATTCAGTACCGTTTAATCACATTCTATCCCCAGCATACATTAGGTCGCTTTTGTTTGGCACAAGTGAATGGCAAGAATTGAATTCAAGTTCATTCAGCTCAAGTGAATAGGCCAACAGGTCCAAAGTTTCACATTTCTGTGCAATGCCTCTATCAATCACTCAGCATTTATCAGGAAGAAACACTAGATATTGATGACCCCTGATGTCAGCCTTGCAACTTTACCTCTGGTTCAGGATTACAGCCAGACAGCCATGCAGACGGAGACAACAATGGCGTGGCTGTACTGGGGAAACACTTTCGGAGTATTCCCAGAATCTGAGAAGAGTAACCCTCAATTGTCCGGGCTCCAAGAAGCATTTTACACAACAAACAGGAAGGTACAAACCCACCACTACTTACTTACTTACTTACTTACTTTCAGCGCCTTGGGACGTCTTCCTGACGTGAAAGACGCTCTATAAGTGGAATCTTGTTGTTGTTGTTGTTGTTGTTACTTACTTCACTGCTGTTTGTGCTGCTTCCCATATATTGGATTGAAAAGTGGAAAGGGCTATCTACAATTCATCATTATTCCTAGTATTGAATGGGAAGTGGTGTTATTAGTTCCCATTAAGTAATATTGGTCCGAGTACTTTCTTCCTGACCGCCCCAAATAGACAACACATGCATAGCATACACGTTGCCTTAAAATTGTCTGAAAATTTAAGCTCATGTAAGTTTTGGAAAATTCTTAAATTCCGTTTTACTTTAGGAACAAATGTTCTTTTTTTTAACAGTTTTTGTGGGAAAACAGTCTTCCAGTTTAAGACGGAACTTAAGTCTTTTCCAAAGTTTGTACCAATCTTAAATTTTACCATGAGGGTCTTACGGCTGAGACAGAGATTTGGGTCGTGTGATGCCAGGAACAGTAGGGCTTAATGTTATCCGCAAGTATAAAGGTGATTCATTCCTGTGTATTGTTCGATTTATCAGCTCTGCTTTGCAACGGGACAGAAGGTGCTAAACAGAACCCATGCTTTTCTCTTGGGGTCAAGGAGGGAGATGGAGTCAGGACAATGGCAAATCACCAGACAGCCATCCTCACACACTGGCAGGTCATGGAGCAGCTTTGATTCCAGCTGAAGAGCTGGTTCGCTTTGCAAACCCAAGAAGAGATTTGTGGGGGGGGGAAAAACATCCCAAAGTAACTGCCCGGCAATAAAAATAGGAGTCTACGAATAGTCGACCGGATGCAAAAGGCCCTCTGGAAGCAAAATCAAAAAAAGGGAACTGAGGAAAAAAGAAAACAGTAACTTAACATAAATAACTCCTGAACTCAGTGTTTACACAAGCGGAAGTTATTTTTCTTACTGCTTTCTCAAAATTGATTACATGACACTAACTTGCCACTGTGGCATATGGCACTGGGTATAAATCTTCGAGTTGTGCAGGAAAGCTATAAAATAGGAACTGGGAGACCAGATACAAATGTAGAAGCATTGTGTGTGCTTTTAGCTGCACGCACAATAATTCTGCCTTTGAAACGTAATTAAATATTTGTTCTCTTTATCAATTATGCCTGCAGCTTGAGAGATGGCTATACCAAGCTGTTTGATCTACTAAGACAAACTCCGCACTAAATCTGATATCTTTTATTGCGCTAGTTTAGCAGATGTAAGTAACTCAATGTTCCCACATCCCCCCCTCCCTCTCCCCTCAAAAAACAACTGGCTTATGTTACTTATCTATATTAAACTGGTCCGGTGAAAGACATCAGATATGGTGCATGGAAAGCAGACAGGAAAAGTGCGTTGGAAAAGTGTCATTGATACCACAGGTTGCAAGAGCATTAGCTTGTAGCTGCTGGAAAAGAATGCACAAAGGGCACTTCAGGATGTTCCTGCAAATCCAATCAGTTTAATGCAAATTCTTTGCACTTTATCGTCATATCGTCACTTTGTTTCCCTCTTTGTAAAACCGTTCGCACACATAGCATTAGAGTGACATAGACTGTAAAGCACAGTAGTAATTAACTATGAGGAAATGCTTTGAGACTTTTCAACATAATAAGTCGCTGTGAAAATTCACCTTCTTTCTTCATTGTTATAATAAATAATAATAATAATAATAATCCTTGCATTTGATATCGCGCCTTATCACTTCATCGTAATGGCTCAAAGCGCTTCACAGGATTTACTGTAAAGTGTAGTGTCTGTGTATTTGTAGGTGAAGGCGTTCCCACAACAGTGTCCCACAAACAGCCTTGAAGTGAGTGACCAATTTTATCTGTGGGTGGGTTGGCCAGAACACCAGGGGAAGACTCCCTTCTCTTTTCGAATAGTGTCACGGGATTTTTAACATTCACTGTGTCTCTCTGTGAATCTCTTGCAGTGTTTGTTGGCACAATTGCAAATTTCAGCTTCTACTCACTCTCATGTTACCCAAGTCCTCTCCAGGATTCGTTTACTAGAGTAAATAAATGTTCACACAATCAATTTCAGCCTCTGTATATTTAAACTCCTGCTGAAAACCTGACAATATACAGCTGTCTTGTCTTAAATAATAACATCACAGTGCGCTCCCCATAGGACACCTCTGCTCCCTCTGCGAGGCTTGAAGTGTAGACTCAACTTTACAGTGCGGTCAGGGCTGGTGAGAAATGTTCAATGTGACAGCAGTTTTCACCATCTTCCGCTAAAACTTCCTGAAAAATCGTAAGCAAATGTGATGGCCTCAGCTTCCACTAACTAGTGGAAATGTGAAACTAATCCCTCAACACGATCAGCGTGGTTTCAAGCCCTTTTTATTCTGTATGTTTTCTTTATAGTTAGAACTGACTTAGCATTTTCAAAGGAGCTCCTTTGTTATGGGGGTTGGGGGGGGAGAGTGTTATTTGACCATTTTGAATGATCTCTGCGTTTTCTGGGTCACAATGAAAGGATCAGCCCCGGCTCCACCGATGGCAAACACAGACCAGGTAACTCCGGTTCTCACTCTGTGTTGAGTTAGTTGGCACGAAGAGCGCTAACATTGTTCTCAATGCCACTGGGGCTGGCGAGGGGGGTGGGGGGATCAGACAAAGTTCCCACACCTCATGGCTATCCATTGCCCCCACCCCGTCCCTCCACCCCCACCTTCTGGACAACCAATGCATGTGGATAGAGGGGACAGAATGACATCAGACTGCAATGACTATCACCTGCCTCATTCGGTGTCTGGACACACACAACCAAATTGGCTGCTGCGTTTTGACCTTCAAAATACACAGTCACTGGGCTTTGCCGTAAATCCTGCGAAGTGCTTCGAGATGTCCTCCCCTCCAGGCGTGAAAGGCGTGATGTCAAATGCAAGGATTATTGTGGTTATTATTATTGTTATCATTTATCGTTAAAAATAGGTTTGAGTGTCCCAGTGTCTGCTGAGTTAGCAGATCTCAGCTGGAGCAGTTGTCCGTGAGCTACAAAAGGCTTCACTGCTCCAGTCCAAGGGAACGTGGAAAATAGGCAAAGTATTTCCTTTTCTGCTGGCAGCAGGAGGTGGGAGTTTTGCTTCGAAGTGAAAGTAAAGTCGTGGCGCACTTTACAATGCATTTTAAATCTAGTACAAAGTTGAGATGGTTTACAACCTCCTCGGCTTGGTACCGGGAACCTGTAATACAGTGGCCATCTGCTGGCCACAGTAGGGAACGGCACATGCTGGAAAAGACCCTAAAAGTTGTCTTTCCATTCATTGGCGATTCACGGCAAGTTAATAATAATACTGTGTTAAGGTAATAATTAATCCTTGCATTGATATAGCGCTTTATCGTGTCGTTGAGACGTCTCAAAGCGCTTCACACCATACACTGCAAAGTGGCTTGACTGTGTATTTTGTGGGCGAAAGCAGATTGCAGGAGCGGACGACGTGATTATGTTAGAGGATCTGACGGCAAAGCGGAGAGCTCTCCCCCAGCACTGAGCGTCAGACGAGACGTTCAGCTCGCAGTCCCGACGTGAGTCTCGAGCCCGAATTTTCTGACCCCAAAGTGCGAGAGCTCGGGCTGCCGACTGAGCCGCGGTGACAGGTACGATGCTGTGCGCCAACCCACCAACACCACCACCACGTTGTTGTTGTTGTTGTTGTTTAAAGTGGCTCGTTTGGAAGCGGAGTAAACACTGAATGCTGGGAACACCCCCCCCCCCACTCCCCCCCCCCCCCCCCCCGCCACCCCCAACCACCCCTCGGAAGCGAGAGCTGGAGTGGAACATTCCACTTCCTCTGAGAACCCGGTGGCAGTTGCGAGCCTAAGAGAGAGAGCGAGAGAGCGAGCGAGAGAGCGAGAGAGAGAGAGAAGGGGTGGTGGGGGGTGGAATTTGGTTATTTATTATTTGCCCTACCTTCCAACTGACCTCCCCCCCCTCCCCCCGTGCACTGCACGACCTCCCACTGAGGGGGAAAGGAACCACAGAAGAAATGCCTTTGTGGAGGCACGACTGAGAGGTGGGAAGGCAACGTGGGCTGACGTGTGTTACCAAAGCAACAATTTGAGTCTCGGCTTAAGATGTAGAGAGAGAGAGAGAGAGGGAGGGAGGGAGGGAGGGAGGGAGCATGGGGTGGGGGTGTGGGGGAGAGGGGGTGTGGGGTGGTCACCAAGCGTTCTGTGTGAGATACAGTGGCTGAATCCAGAGACCTCATTCACATTTCGACTTGATAGAATAGTTGGCGAACAGAGTTTTTAAACCGAGAACCATTAAAAAGACCTTTTACGACATCTGCCTCTGTTTCTGGTTCATTGTCCTCTAGTGACCTGTGAACCCCCCCCCCCCCCCCCACCCCACCACCGCCCCGACTTACTTTCACCGCTGGTTGTATTTAAAGACACCCTCCTAAAGCCACACATCATTGCGCTGGTTACCTCTTTGAATGCGCTCCGAGACTCTCCCCCGCGTGAAGGGCGCCGGATAAGCGGACAAGTTGTTCTTTGCCGGAAAGAATTTAAAAGCCACCAGTGTTTTGTGTACTTGCAGGAGCTGAAGGAACCCAAATGCCTTGTTGTAAAATGATTCCTTTCCCTCGCTCTCACTGAGGAATTCACGTTCGGTCGGGCTGATTTGCAATCACTACCGAACCAGAGGTGAAAGGTTCAGGGGTGAGTACGTGACCCTTAGTCTCCGCTCTGGAAACCTGCGTATTTTCTTAAAAGGGAAAAAGGAAGTCAGAGGAGGTGGTGGTGGGGGGACGGGTGGGGGGAGAAAAGGGTCCGTTCTGTTCAAATGCATCTCCCCAAGTAATGTACGTTCGGAAATGACACGTTTCTGAAAAATAAACCAAGGTGTGAGTTTCCAGATCTCAGTCAGTTCCAAGGTTCTTCCTTTCCCTTCTCCTGAAGGGGTTAGAAGCAACAATCAGCCCAGAGCCTCAGGATCTTGGAACAAGTTCCTATATGGCAACTGAGGATGGAGGCGTGGAGTCCTATAGCTCAGTGGTTAGAGCACTCGCTTTGCAAGCGAGAGACCTGGGTTCAATCCCAGGCAGAGGGCGAAACCTTGGGCAAGTTTCCTTACTCCACACAGAGCCCTAATAATAATCCCTCCAAAACCAAAAACAATAATAAATTGCTCATTTCCAATCCACGACTGTTTGTGGGACGCTGCTGTGCGCAATTGGCTGCCGCGTTTCACCCACAAAGATGCAGTCAATTCACTTTACAGCATATTCTGTGAAACACTTTCAGACGTCTCGAAGATGTGAAAAGCGCTATATCAAATGCAAGGATTATTATTATTATTATAAACGGATGCGTGCGTGTTTGCGCGTGTGTGGGGTGTGTGTGTGTGTGTGTTGGGGGGGCACGATGGGGAGGCGTTTACACATACATGATCTCTGGGAATAGTTGGAAAAATGCGATACATAGTAATGGATTCCAAACCACATTTTATAATTGTGAGATCTGTTATGAAAATCGCAATTGTCATCCTTAAATGTGCTCCTGGGGCACAGGACGGAGCACAGAGCTTGAGCTGAGCTGATAGTTTTTCTCCCAGTATTGCTACTCCAAGCAACGACTTATCCTTTTATCTCCCCACTCCGCGTATCTGGAATACTTTCATACTTTTTTAATCATTCACATCTGATAATCTTTGAAGTGATAATTCTTTGAAGCCTGTGATTTGTGGCTAAACCTTATGCGCTCTCAATAAGAAAGTTTAATTATATCTATATAAAAAAAATCGCTCATAACTTAGATACCCTGAGGGAAGAACATTAGCCAGGTCTCGCATTCTGTGGATCACACAATTACATGACTTTAATTTGGTTATCACTTTCATTGGGGTCTATCCAGCTTGTAGGATGTGAAGAAGGATTGGCAAATATTGAATCCTACAGGCAATAAATCCCAGATATTAAAATATTAAATCCTGGAAGCTGAAATACTGAATCTAGGATATTGAGATATTAAATTCCAGTAAATGTCTCACACCTGCCCATCAGAATTCCACTCAAATGAATTCGATCTTCCGTGAGCTGGAAGACAAATGGGGAAACCTGGCTTCAGGACATAGGGATTGGGAATGGTGTCGATGTCAGTATCAGTCAGAAAGAGGTCTTCCAGGTTATTGGAATTTGACCCTTAAGGGATTTTAATTTAGATTGCTCTACCCCATCCACTAAAACGTTAATCATTTTACCGATCCATATCAGTATCACTCATAATAAATCTTTGCATTTGATAGTCCAAATGAGTTTTGCATAGATTATCCTGCAAAGCACTTTGAGACGTCTCAACGATGTGATAAGGCGTTATGTCAAATGCAAGGATTATTATTATTATTATTATTATTGTTATTATTATTATTATATAGCGCCTTGTATCTCGAAACTCTTCACAGGATTTTACCAAGAACATTGCATTGTAGGCAAACCGCAAGCCAATTTGCTCACAGCAACATCCCACAAACAGTCAGCTTATGTTTCTCTGGGTCTTCTTTCAGATGAGCCACTGTTATCCATGGCAAATGAATCAGAAAGTAGTGAAAGCCAGGCTGTCTGCAGCTGCTCTGTCCCCGATTCTCATACGACCTACAGCAACAGCAGCAGTAATATTGGGAACTACACAGATGAGTCATTCGAATCTTGTTCAGAGGACAGTGAAGGCAGCCGCAGATATTGCGATGAATCATTTGAAGCTCATCATTATTCCGAGGAGGAATTTGAGCCAGAAACTGAATCGGAAACTTCTGCAACCAAATCCCGAGATGATCATCCCCGATCATCCTTGAATGATTACGAAGGTGAGGAGGTGGGAGGGGAACGGTTTAATGTCTTCAATGCTAATTTCGTGATCCAGCTCATTGAACTCCAGCCCAACCGTAGGAAAAGGGCGTAAGAAAGCAGGGGGATAAGAAAAGACCATTCGGCCCATTGAGCTCACTCCTTCTCCAGTCCACATAGCTTGCCATCAAGAGCACTGATCACAGAAATGATCACGCATTGTATTTTCCCACCATGGACTCTGAACGTCATTTCATTTAATATTTACTTTGTCCACTCTTTCAGGTTTCGTAATTTTTGGGGGGCAATTTTATAATTCCCTGAAATTTTTCTTAACATTTGCGATTACCCAAAGACTGGATGGAGAGGAGTGCAGTACAGAAAACCCAGGGAGGGCTCAGTGTTGCGACCCAGTGGTGAGAATCAGCATTTTGCTCTGTAATTGCAGAACAGTAACAGCTAGTCTGTCAGATGTGGGGAAGTAGGAGGTTAGCAAGAGAAGGACATTCGGCTCGTTGACTCCGCTCTGTCAGACTATTCCATGGCTCACATGGTGTTCAGGATACCCACGACAAAGCAGTGGACTTAGACCATTAGAACATCAAAGCTGGCACGTCACAAACTGCCCTGTAAAGGTCCTCCCACCATCCTGAAGGCAGATGTCTGTCGAATAGCTGATGAGGAAACTCTGAGGCTTGGGACGACAGCTGCTGGAAGGTATTACTTGGGAGTTTGGGATCATGAACGTGCGTTGATATTATTTGGGATTTGGTTTCTACCTTGATTGGTATACAGAGAGGTGAGCATCTGCTGCTTAATCTCTGGACTCCCGACTGGTAGAACCATTGCTCAGTGGGTAGGGGGTGTATTGTCCAGGTCGTGGTAAAGCTTTCAAGTTGCGATGTGCTGGTCACCAAGTTGCGGTCGTCGGATGATTAATGACCAACTGAAACCGATACCGGTTGAGCAAAGAGAGAGAGGTACGTGGAGCTGAGCTGCCTCCAACACGACAGGCCTGGCAATGGAATATTGGAATCCAGTTGAACCTCTGTAGCTCTCTTGATAGTCCAGTTCCTGAGTCAGGAGGGTCTGTAGTTCTCCAGGGCACTGCTGATGACAGACCAGTCAGCATAGCCTTGTTGGAAGGATTTGCAGATACAGACCAATCACTGTGGGCAAAGATTCTTACATAATATAAAAATAATCCTTGCATTTGATGTAGCGCTTTTCACATCTTCTAGACGTCTCAAAGCGCTTCACAAAATATGTTGTAAAGTGAATTGATTGTATATTTGTGGGCGAAACTTCCCACTTCACTCCTGAATCTTGCCAGACTGAGTTTACAATGGCAAGTCTTACCTGATTAAGTTCCAGCAGTTACGCCAAAACACACTGTGAAGTCCCCAAGTGCTGGATCTTGCCAACCTGCTCTCTATTAATTTCTGCGATTAGGGAGACGTCTCAAGGTACTCGACGACATAGCTGGATGAGTATCTGAGGTGGGTTGGGGGGTGGGGAAGAAACAGACACCGGATGAGCAAAAATAAAATGGAATATTTATGATAAATTATGATCCATCCTTTTATTTTTGTTGGGTCGGCTTTTGAATATGTTTTGGTTAAGCAGTGATGGCCAAGACAGCCGATTAGGGAATGATTTATAGCTGGTAAAGACAGCCATTAATCTAGAAATGATCCTGCACTGGGACCAGAAAGGTAATTCTCTTCCCCACACCCTCAGGCTTTGTTCAAACCCACTTTCCTCTGTTGCCACCAGCACTCAAAACTGGATCAATAAAGTGCAGCACGCAGCAAAAAGCATTATTTGATTTCTTTTTCCAAAGGAGTCCTGCCATTCACTCCTTACCATTCAGCTGGAGAGTGCGTGCGTGAGAGGAGTGGGGTGGGGACACACGGAGAGAGGCTTCTCCTATGGCTCATGAGCCATATATAGCACATGGTTGCTGAGCTCTGAAGCGCTCTGAGACGCCATCCAGCGTGGAGGGTGCTATATAAATCCAAGTTGTTGTTGAGCTGTTGTTTTTTTTTCGGTCAGCTGGGTGTCTGACACGTGCAGAAACCCATCACCACACCGTATTCAAACCAGGCCGAGCGTTCCACCTACGTTTTCCTCGGAGCTTAACCGATTCCCCGGTGTCTGGAAAGAAATGAGCGCTGTCTCGTGGGAGGGACGAACCCTTGCTTACCTATTTCCAGAGAGTATTAGGTTGGCAAAAGCCAAGGCTTGGGGACTTCAGAGTTGGGGGTAACCAGCTATAACTGCATCAGTTGGATTTTACAATTGGCCTCAGTTCCTGTGGACTAAGGAGGAGCATTGAGTCTGTTTTTTTGAAAGACTTGTACTTAGAGAACAGATTTCTTTGAGAACCGCTTTGATACTTTTGGATGAGTCTGTTGAATTAAAAAAAACTTCCCAAACCCCATTTGCTATCGTATTCCTTGGGCGACAAAGAGCAAGTTAACGGAAATAATTTACCAAAGAAAATTAATCTTATGTATATTATGAAACCGGAGGGGAATGATAATTTTTTCTCCCGCACTCGTGCGGGACTGATTGAATTGCTTGCTGCTCCACTCCCCCTTGATGGGATAAATTCTCACGCGTCGAACTATTTTGCTGTTGATTTCAAAGAAAGATGGGAATGGTGTCTGGCAACCAAGCTATGATCTAATCATGTTTCCCCCATGAGCTGACTCACTGTCTGTGAATTACTTCCAAATCTTTTGTCTGATGGTTGCCCTTCTCTGCTGCACTGCCAACCTTTCACAACAGCTTGCGTGGCATAATGACCGACTCCTAGAACACGAAATCAATCAAAGTCATGATGCTCCACTGGGGGGGAAGTGAGCACAGATATGACAGGCCCAGCGGTCTCCTCGAGTACTGTAAACATTCTACGCTGTCAGAAATCAAGGTCAATAATGATTAACTTCAGCATTTCATAATCCCAACAATAACTCACTAGAAATAATTTCCTTTTGAACTCCAGTAAAACCTTCTCGGTGTCAGAGAAATGCCAAGCAACATTTACTTGCCAGTTGGTCACAAAGCGCTCCACAGGATTTACTGCAAAGTGCAGCGACTGTGTACTTGTGGGAGGATGATATTTGTGCATGTGCACGGTGAATGTTTTTAAGTGACCGTCTTTATTTTAACGTCCTTATAAATAGGTGAGGAATTTGAATCCTGTGACGACTCGGAAAACTTAGCGGCAGAAGAAATATTTGTAGAAAAGCGGCTTGGCATTTTGCAGAGCCAATTCTCAGACTGCGCCCGTTGCAATGGAACTCAACAGCGCAGAGCACCTCGGAGAGGTAAGGCAGTACAGGAACAATCGTTCACCAATAACATTTTAATGTGGGTCGCTAATTTAAAGGTTGCGCTGTGCTTCGCCTGCAAACACACAGTCACTTCACTCGGCGGCAATTATGCGTGAAGCGCTTTGAGGTGTTTCAGGGGCTATATCGAATTTGCATCGGAATTGATGCTCGGGGTCTCTGGGGCAGAAGAAAACTGACAAGGTAGTTTTTCGAAAGCAATTTTGCACAGCTCGCTCCCGAGCTTCCTTTTTTATATAAAAAGCTATACATAATTGATAAAAAAATAAGATTGCACTTCGTCTAATTGAGTTCTCACGCAGAGTGAAGCATAATGAGATGTGGCTGACTGTACAAGATCAGACTCTCAGTGATGACAGCAGGGGTTTTGAATTTGTTTCGCAGAGCGTTTGATTCTCTGGGCTTTGGGAACGCGTGTACCCGAATGTTGAGCTTTTAGCCACCACTTGAACGCCTGCAAAGTACTGAACCGACCTTGAAACTGACCAGCGATCTGATAAGGCCAAGACCGGCAGCTTCTTCAGACCACTAGCCTCATCCACGGAGGCAGGTCTTGTAACTGCAGCGATAGGAAGCCATTCCCACAATGTCACTTGCACGAGCTGGGAATGGCTTCGGGACATGCTTGAGCTGAAGAATGGGAAATGACGGAGCTTGGAGTTACTGGGTGCGGGGACTTTTCTCAACTCTTACGAGAGTAAAGAGTCAAAACGCAGGAACCCGGGGCCTGAAACCCACCTGATAACAATAATAATAATCCTCGCATTTGATGCAGCGCCTCGTCACGACTTCGAGAAGTCTCAAAGCGCTTCTCAGAATATACTGTAAAGTGGAGTGACTGTATATTTTGTGGGCGAAACACAGTCTGGTCAGGGGCTGGTTTTAGAACAGAGATGATCAGGGAGTACTGGTAACCCAAGAGATGAAATGACCCGTGTTAGTGGGGTGGAGTGGGTGGCAAGTGCGATCTGGAGCACTGAAGGTAACATTTTTATACGGGCAGCAGATAAGATTTCTAACAGTGGGGGATTATTGTTGCGAGGACTGCAGGTATCGTGAGAAGGAATGAGCAGCGATAAATTCTAGCATGAACTTGAAAATGTAATTTTCAACAGATCTGATAGGAAATGGAACTTAAGAGGTAGAGAGATAATTAACAGCAGGTCGTTGAACGTCCTGGGGAGAGAGCAGGGGAATGTGGTTATAGCGGATCGGTACAGTGGGGAGGTGGGTGGTGAGGAGAGAAGATCTAGCACCTGTAGAGATGTAATGAACTGACTGGCTTCCTTCTGCGCTGTAATCATTCCCTGCTGTTTGCGTTACTGCCTTTTAGGAAGGTAAAGGCTTTTTTTGTTGTTGAGGTAATGGGGAAAAATATTCTCTTGGTCAATCGTTTTTTCTCCCTGGTGCACAAGAGGGAAGAAGGTTTAGTCATTAAGTCCTAATGTTGCTGTGGACCAGTCACTGAGGTGCAGATTATCTGCTCAGTCCCGCTCCACGGCAACACAGCCCAGTTTGGTAAGACAGCAGAACGAGGGGCTGAAACCGCTATCTACTGCTGTACAAAGCCGCAGATTTGCGCCTCAGTCCGATGGATGAAGAAGTCCCCTCGGCCCATTTCATCTCATCCCATACAGCCACTACACTTTACAGTATATTCTGTGAAGCGCTTTGAGGCGTCTCGAAGACGTGATAAGGCGCTGTATTAAATGCGAGGATTATTATTAGTATTATTATTATTATTCTTACAGAATATCAACCTCAGTGTCTTCCCGTGATACGCTCTTCATTGTCCTTGTTTCAACACCTTTGATAATTAATAACCCATTCCATTCCAATTGATGATGAGTCTCTGTGTAAAGAAATACTTCCCAGCGGCTGTCTGGAGAGTATTACGCCCTCTTGTGCTGCTGCCTTGAGGGTATCTGAAGTTACCGTTTCCTCTTTCTCATCGGGCGTCTGGTATCTCTCCATAGCTCCTCTCTGAGATGGCTCTTTTCTGGGTTAAAGACGTCTAGCTGAACTAATCGTTCCTCCCAGCTCATCCATTCCACACCGTGATCAGCCATGTTGCTCATTAACTGGCCTTGGCACAGCGACAAGTAGCTCAATCAATTCTCTTCCGAAACGGTATATGCGTTTCGTTTCCTCTAAACGTTTCCTTGTGGTTCGTTTTGAGGCCGACGGCTTTCCATTTTCCATTTCCCTTCCCTTTTCTCGCAAGTTAACCCCAAGTTCATTTCTCATCAGAGACTTCGCAGCCTCCCCCGGCACAATCAGCAGCTCTGGGATCTTACTGCAGCGCGAAAATCAATCAGCTTCAGCGGCCATCTAGAACGAAGCTATCAGGGCCCACTAAACAGGCACAGCAGCATCCAAGCTCACCACTGGCAATAGCCTCGAGCCCGCAGCAAGTGTGCATCGTACCCCGGCAGCTGGTGAACCGGGTTCATCGAAAATGCATCTTAGACACAGTCAGACAGGTACCGTACTGGCTCTTTCATTTGGTGCAAAGTGGGGTGAAGGGCAGGGCAATGTTAGCCACCACAGGCAGGTATGGTTCGACCGGACTCCATCCCCTGCCGTAACTTTCTATCATCCCGCGGTTGGATGCACGGGAGGTTGGAGGGTCGTTGCAGCAAGCATGAAAGTGTCGGCAAGCTATAGGATTTAAAAGGGCCCAGCGCTTAAGCAGCACCAAAGTCAAAATTTGCTTTCACAGTGAAGCCTTTCACAGTTAAGTCCTTGTGGCTAAGTGATGAAAGTTTGGAGACTTTCCAAAACTGCTTTCGCTGCACGACTCGCGCAATGCGCTTCGCACAAAATCAGACCATCAGGTGGTACCAGGAGTGATAGAAGCATCGACAAGATGAGCAGGTGCCAGAGGGAAGTGGGATGACTGTTCAGCTATCCCACAGTCGCCTCTGTTGATGAGCAACACTAAACGCACAGTCAGGATTAGAAATGAACTGCGCAGCTGGATAAAGGGAGGATTGAAGATTGCAATCTTCCTTTTATGTGGATAATTCTCTGTGGGATACGATTAAAAATTACCAAAAATCAGACCTACGCTCTGTGCTGTCGCCAAGTGTTCCCCAATGAATGTTAAACAATGAATGCCTTGCTGAAGCAGGGATGTGCTGCCAAAATGGGCCACTATTTTTAGATACTGCTGCCTTCGACAGAGTTCAGCATTTCAAGAAGACTGAATCAGTAAAAAGAGATTAAATTCAGAAGCCTTTGTTTAATGCATTTTTGATTATTTCGAGATGGATCAGTGCCAACCATCCAAGCCTCGGAATATGAGCAATATTGCGTTGGGTTTTTTTGCGTTTGTGGAACGTTGCTAAATAATATCAGTAAAGAAATCTCAAAACGCAGACGTGTAAGCAGTATTTTGGGAGGGGTGGGTGGGGGCGGGAGTAGGGAATTATCTGCCCATCGCTTTTCAATCAAACACTGAAACAATATCTTATGAACCAAAGCTGGGGCTTAAAATTATTTTCCATTTTGGCAGAGAAAGATAAAGTGAATAAATTTAATAAAATGACCTCCAGATTGCCCCTCGGATCCGATCACAGGAATTGCAGTTTAGAGCAAGTGAATTTAGCATACACATTTGTTTTAATGTAATTGCATATTGATTCTGATAGTTTTGCAAGCCCCCACCCCCACCCCCACCCCCATGGGCTCCTGTGCGCAATGATGCATCATGATCAAACATTACAATACCTCTGTTATTCTGGAGACGGCAGGACTAGGAAGAGTTTAGATTTAGGAGAGTGGAGGGTTTTTTAAGCCCAGACACCAGGAAGTATTTCTGCAGCCCAGAGAGTAACCGGTCTAGATATTATGTCAGGAGACTATTAACAGAATATGTGTTCGAAGCAAAAAGAAAGCATCAACATATTCGAGAGGAGATGTGACTCTAACACGAGGGAGAATGGAAAAGAGGGATCTTAGGAGAGAGGATTAGCGGAGGTTTAGGTTGAGTATAAACACCAACGTGGACTAGTTGGATTGAACAGCCTGTTCAGTATTTCTATATAATTCAAGGGGTGGTGGGTGGGTGAGGAGTGAAAGTACCATCAGTAGAGTCATGAAGTTTAGAAACTAAGCAATTTTCTAGGTTATTTCTTCATCAACGATTTTTCTCGCCTCTACCCAGGCAATGGAAACCGATATGCATCAACCGTCCAAGTGTCCCGGGTGCCTTGCTAAGAAAGCTGAGCTGGCAGAAGTGAACTTCCTCCGAGTCAAAAAATTGCAACTGGAGGGAGCTTTTCTACAAGAGAAATTGGAGGAACACCTCTACTTCAGAGTAAGCAGTTTCTTAAACTTCATTTTCGCCCAAAGTTTTCAATCGATTGACATTTTTTTTTAAGGCATAAATTGCTAACGACCAGTGATTCAATCCATCTCTTTTCTCTCTCTTTGTTGTGTTCCTTTCTTTCCCTCGTTCCGTGCAGTCTCTATGTTTGATGTTAATTCTCTCCTTTTGTTCTTTCCTGCTGCAAAACGCTCCACACCAGGCCTGGTACCAAGTGACCAATTTTATGGGACGCAAATCTCCTGGCTTAAAAACCCTGATCTCGGTTACTTCAAAACAAACGTTTTCAATGAAAGCTTTCATTGAAGTCCATAAGCTGCTTTTTAATTCAAACGGATAAAGGCTAATTGATTAGAACACCTGCTTTTCTAGACATGAAAGGAATACGGTGTCTTCAAAAGCTCCTATGTAAAGTCCTGCTCTTTTTCTTGTACTGTTTTCGCAGGATTCACTGACGTTAATTGGAGAAATACTCAAAGATCTCCCGAAGCCTTCTGATGACACTGATGTGGTCTGGAAGAGATTGATTCAAAGGCGACAAATAAGGTGATGCTGTTAATGGCAGCGCATCTCGCGACAGAATGCAACTTTGCACAGTGTTTTCCGAAAAACAGCAATAAAATTTCACTTCAATGAAAGTTATGGTCATGCTCTCCGGAGTAACTGAGATCTCCTGCTAGGATGTAGGTAAATCCCCTGTGTTGCTAAGGAGTCTGGCCATCAAATAATTGCAACTTCTGTGTTAAAACCTGAAGTTCCGGACAGAATTCTTTCCCAATCGAAGAACTTTCTTTCAAGGCAGAGAACGCCAGCGGTGTCACAGTACATCATAAGTGTGATCAAATTAAATGCTGAGAAATGGGCACAGCTCAGATGAAACAGAACAAACTTGTGTTTGCGGGATCCCCAAAAAGGGGAAGTGTCACGACATCTTCTGTTTCTATTTCTTTTTAAGCCTCGTCAGCATAACACAAATAAGCCGTGCTGCCTACAAAGAAATGAAGAACTAAGTCTTCAAACAGATTGCGCCAAATGTATGATTTCACCAGACTGCATCGAGAGTTATTTAAAGGCTTTTACTCTGTGTATTTTTTCCCTGGTGGGTTGATCCCTCTGAGCAGCTTGCTTTGAGCTGGCGGGGAGGAGGAGGTTGAGCTGGAGGGAAGCCAGGGCTTGGTTTGGAAACAGCTTTGAGCAGCAACTTTCACTCCCCGCCTGAGTAGGAATTCTCCACTTAAGACACAGTTCAGCTGGTGCGAAACTGGCAAAGCACATTGCGTGGCTGGCTGGTAGATTGAGATCTCAGCAGGACTTACACAGCATTAACAAGCACTGAAGGTTTTTGCTTTTGCCCCATTGGATTTTATTTTCTAACACCATCATGCTTTCTTTTTTTTAAAAAAAGATTTTTTTTTATTGACACATAAGCGTAAAACTAGTGGGTTGTTAACCTAGACTCAACTTGTCATCAAAATAAATCTTTGGCCATTTGACTTGAGCTCAGCTAACTTTCTTCCCACTTTTGATTTTCACCCCCTGAGGTTTTCCCTCTGTTGCACACTATCTTTGAATTTGATCTCAAACTTCTACCTTTCCAATACATTTCTCTAACCCAGAGAGGAGAGTTCAGTCAATACTCAGGTTCACTGGATCTCTTGTCTATATTGAAAGGTGGGGCATAGTTTTGACCCTTCAACACATGCTGAGTTCTTGATCTTTATTGAACTCCATGTTGAGAGACATGTTAGTGCCTTTTTACCATGCGTGCTGGTCACACCTGAGAGATAGAGAGAGAGAAAGAGGGAGGGAGGAGTGGGGGGGGGGGGGGGGGGGGTTGGTGGAGAGAGAGAGAGGGGGAAAGTGAAAATATACTGGAGAAAGTGGAGCAAGCTTTCAAACTCTATTCTAAAGGTCATTTCGCGCAACAATTCTTCTCCTAATACATGCTACTTCTGTAAATGCAAGGAAGTGGGAATACCTTCACACAATCCAATCGTTCTAGCCAGATTTTTTCTTTAAAAAAAATGTAACTTGCTGCAATTCGTACTGGGAATACTACCAAGTGAGATGTTTGACAGCTGCTGGATTGCAGAATGTTATATCTTTGGAACTGCAACCATACAGGTCTGAGCAAGTGTCCCATTTTAGCTTCAATTTGCTTGAAATATTTCCTGCACATTAGGGTTGCGGTGTGGTAATGGTTGAAAGTGTTGGAGATTAAATCACCTCGCAGTTAACTAGCATCGATTCCAGATACCAATTAGAGGCTAGATTTGCTGTGTTTCTTAATGTTTACCTTGTTCTAATTAGATAAGGAATGCTGCTATTTTTTGACCATGGGACTGCAGTTGTGTGAGAAATGCGTAAATACTTAAAACTCATACGGAGCAATCCCGCGCTTCAGACGGGACACAACGACAACAACTTGCATTTATATAGCGCCCTTCATTATTCTTATTCTTATTCTTATTATTATTCATGCAGGCTAGCGTCCATTAAACTTGCAATGTGTGCCTGTACACAGGGACATTGAAGTTCTCATGGCTATTCCCTGTTTCAAAAGAGAAGGGACTTTCTCCCTTTGTCCTGGCCAACAATCCCTCCAATATAATCAGTCGGTCATTCACTTTAACAGTTCACTTTTAAGAGGATAGATTGTCTAAAGCTACAGCATCAAATGGCAGGTCTTTGTTCCTCTTCAGTCATGTAGCAAATGACCAGATTGAGATGATGTACACGTTAGATGTTTTCGCTGAAGGATTTATTCCCATTTATCATAATGCATTTTTTTTGGCAAACTTCTTTTGCGGTCAACTCAGGGCGATTTTGAATCAACTCACTTTGAAAGGTACCCAAAGGACGGAGACAGAATGGAATAGCATGTAGCAATTTTTCACGATGTTATGTTCTCTCTGTTATTCCATGACCTGACACATCTACTATTTATAGCTCCTTCATTAATGGTGCAACCTGATCGCTATCAGGCTGCTCAAATCAGTAGCGCTCTCGCTTCCAAGACAGACTGTTGTAGGTTCAAGTCCCACCTTGACTTTAAACGCATATCACAAGCTGCCACATTCATCTATACACGCACAGTTCCTTACACTTCACAGTACGATTCCCTGAAGCGTTGAGAAATATTGTCAATGTGGTAAGGTACCTATTTCAAATGCATGGATCATGAATTAAGGCCGTCTGTAATTTCTTCCACATACATGGGTTACACAACTCACCCAATGCTGGTATATTTACACAACTTGTATATTTCTGTCTTGTTCGGGTAAAAATGACCAGGAAGAAGAATTGAACACACGTCATGGCAAATCACTTCATCCACACCACCAAAATTTTTTTAAAAAGCAACTATAGCGGAAATAATTACTTCAAGATAGCATTGGTATTTCAACTTGCTTGCCTTCAACATTTTCGCTTCTTAGGGGGGAAAAAAAATGTGACATCTCACGGCAATGTACAGTGGGTGTGTTGGGGGGAAATGACCAGGACACATGGGAACACATATCTGCAGCAATAAAAGTTTGCTACATTAAAGAAAGTTCCTGATGTAACAAGGAGTGCTTTAACTTAAGAGAAACATCTAAATCACAGCAAAAAAAATAGCATTTCTCATTTTACCCGTCCGTTGAATTACTGGGACTCTTACATCAGTGAGCAATTCAAGAGGCAGTTTAATGTTGTGGTGGGACAATTGTAGACTTGTTCTGGAAAGCTGAACCCAAGCCAAAGTCCCTCTCTTACAATCTTGTGAAATGGATAGACGTCTCCGACCTCCCTGATCTTGTGACACCCTCTTTCTCCTGTGGTTGGATCACTCCTCGTTCCCTTATTGAAGCCACCTGGGTTCCATGACATCACTTTCATTGGTACGGATTATGGGTTGAAGGACACATTTTAGAAATCTCTGCCCTCGGAATTTCCGCCCCTAAATCAAGAAATATTCAACCGAGAAAAAAAAACTGAAAACACGCGACCGATCGCACAGAGACTTACCTAGGATGGACCACAACTGTTACCGCGTTCATGTTGTGGACTGTCACGTTATAGCGATTCGGTGACACTACCTTAGTTATCTTGACGTTCTCTTGATTTTAAGGAAATTCTTAAAATATAGAAACATCATTTTTCTTTTTTAATTCCACCTCCACCACCATCAAAACAAAAAAAAACAAGGAAAAGCACAGCAGGGCTGATAAACGGAACGCACGACGGCTCCCTTGGAATAGATTTTTTTTTGTTCCCAGTTATGAAGATGACTGTGACTCATTTTCACCTCCTTTGCTTGTGAATCCTCCATTCAACCTCCCTTGTAGAAAGCCATAATTGCATTTCAGACTTGCCTTTTTGAAGACTTCACATCCACAGTAGGCGCAATTTAGGAAGATTCCCCTTGAAGATGGATAATAATCTTTGCGTTGTGATTTTGATGTGAATTTTCTTACCTCGGCAACATCCAGTGATTTGAAAGCAAGACATAATGGCCGTGGCTTGGAGCCCACTGTGCTCTTCAAAGAAATATTTTACTTGCGTGAGTGCCTTTAACTCTATTCCCCAGTGCCTTCGCCTTGCTTCCTCCCTTTCCTCCTTCAAGGCCGGTCTCAAGACCTTTCTCTTTGACCGTGCTTCAGCTCCCCTCTCGATTCTCTACTCCCTCCTCGCGCCCTCCCTTCCCTCCCCTCACCCTGACCATTTCCCCCCCAAGGCTCGGGTCCTGACCCAACTGTACAGCGCCTTGGGACGTCCTCCCGACGTGAAAGGCGCTCTATAAATGGAATGCTGTTGTTGTTGTTGTTGTTTAAGTCTGTTTCGAATGGTTTTAATTTTGCTGTGGTGTGAAAACTTTATGAACTCTCTCCTTAGTCTACTTCCGTTGGGCTTCTAACAATTTGTTTAAAAGGTCATGTGGGAAATCCTTCCAAAGAATTGTAATGGAAGCACTGCAGCAAGTCCTGTTTCCGAGCCTGATTTCTTTGCCCAAAAGGCAAATACGCAGTGACAGCCTTTCTGTTCTGGCGAAAATTCTTCATTTTGTTTCAGCAAAACTGCTCAATCAAGGAATTAATTCAATATCGATGTTCTTTCCCTCTCCCAAAGAGGTAATAAGCTGTCCTTTCCTCTCCAGATCAGCCAAACGCATCCATTCACTTACAATTCCATTATACTGTCCTGTATATACTTAAAGCAGCTTCTCCGTATGAAATCAATAGGAGCAGCATTACAGAGGGTATAGTATTTAACATTATCTTCTCCCTCCCCCCAAAAATCTAAATACAGTCAAACCTGTTCAAGCCACCACCTCCATTCAGCAACCACCACCCGTTAACAACCACCCTGGAACAGCCCGGTTCGCACACCAATGAACATTAATGAACCCTCACTCAGAGGTCACCCTTATATAAAGGCCACTTTGGCCCAATCCCCTGAGAGGTTGTTGAAGATAGGGTTGACTGTATATTGCTTCTCAAGTGCGCCTTTTTATGTTAAAATATTTCAAAGAGAGGCAAGTAAAAGTTTTTTTTTTGAAGCACACAAGTTAGGGTCCTTCACACGTAATTGCTGGCAAGCGTAGTGACTGCTTTTGCCGGCAAAGGTGGCAGCCAATGGTGCTGGCAAGGCCTTCGAT